ATTGAAATGTTAAAAATTAAATTGAAAATTCAAATATATGAATTAAAGAATTGTTTAGTTGTTGAAAAGGAAAATCAAAAATGTATGCTTCCAGTCGGGTTCGAACCAACGACCTTTAGATCTTCAGTCTAACGCTGCTACCAGCTGAGCTATGGAAGCTTACATTTTGTATTATATAGAGAGATTAACAATATTAAATTTATAAAAAAAGAAATAACAACAAAAATATGAATTCATTAACATAAAGTAATACACAATAAATATTTTATAATAGACTTTTAAACTTTCAGTAATAAAGATTAACATGAAAATATAAAAGATAATATAAATATTTTTATTGAATGTAATAAGTTTTAATCAAGCCAAAATAAACATTTACGTTACAATGAAAACAATTTAAATAATTATTATGTTATAATTATTATTGGGTTTGAAAGTAATATATAATGTATGTGGATAAAAATATTAACATGAAATATATTGTACGATTAATATTTCAATTTTGTCATATTGTATTAAATTGAGAAAATTATTATATCATAATGTGTAATCTATCAAAACATATTAGATAAACATTTTGATGAAAAATTCACTATTTCATTAGTATGGCTGCAACTATTAATTTTATACTATCTATAGGTAAAAATTAAATTAATTAAAAGAAAAAAAACAAAATATGACAAATAATAAAAAATTAACATTATTATAATAATATGATATATATAAAAATCAGTCCCAGCATTTTGATTGGTAAACACTTGACATCCATTTCGTTCCAGGTCTATCATTCGTCGACAGGTTTTCGCTGCTCCGTTGCCGGCCTGACGCATTACCCTGTTCCTTACCATCCCCAAAAGCCTCTCTTCCGAAAAACTCGCAGTGATGAACGAAGATATGGATCGAGGTAGTCTCAAACACATCTACTTCTCAAAACACCAATTCCAATTTTTAAGCTCCCAAACCTTATGGTCACAGATATTCGTAAAATATCCGAGCTTATATATTACAAAAAAATTGTCTTATATTTTGAAAAAAGGTCGGAATCATATATTATGGGACTTTATAAAAAAAAATAAAAATATAAAAATATATAACATTAAATTTAACAAAGTGAATATTAATAAAAAAAATTGCTAACATTAATTTGAGATATGGTATAAAATGTAAAAGTGTAAGGCGACTATGGGGATCGAACCCATGACCTTCTGTTTACAAGACAGATGCTCTACCGCTAAGCTAAACCGCCATACCTAATGATTATAGGTTTTAAAGCTGCTAAGAGATATAGTATATCTTTTTGATAAATTTTTGTTAAAAATATGGCGGAAAATCTTTTTAATATTAATGATATTATTTATGTTAAAATAATAATAATAATATATAATAAAATCATTAATGTTGTTATATAAAATAATAAATAACAGAAGTCTCCAATAGTATAGCTGGTTAGTATCTTCGCCTGTCACGTGAAAGACCGGGGTTCGAATCCCCGTTGGAGAGTTCCTTTTTTACTAATATTTTTGATGAACTATAATGTTAACAATTATTAGATCTACAGTACAAAAGGTGAAAACAACACTCGAATAAAAAAAATAAATAATACAATGTCGTAACAATTTCTATAGAAACAAATACAATAACTGAAAATAAATTGTATTAAATACTATACTCATATTTCAAATGATATACCATGTAAATGAAATAAAACATATAATTCTATTAAAAATAAAGAATAAATATATTATACAGTATTTTGTAAAAAAATAAAATAATCGAAAAATATCATTAGTAATATCAATAGGTTTATTTGATTTTTATACGGAAACTATCCAGTTTAAAAATTGCCATATTTATTTATCATATCAAAAATTCATTGGCCATCATATATAATTTAAAATATTTCAATTTAAAAGAAAGATAATGATACTATAAAAAAGAACTAAATATTAACAGAAAGAAATAAGTCAGAATTGTAATATAAAATGGTTCCACCCGGGTTCGATCCGGGGACCCTCACCACGTCAAGATGATGTGATAACCAACTACACCATGAAACCATCTGTTTAAAAGACTATTGTTGTATAGGCAAGTCTATAAAATTGAAATGTTAAAAATTAAATTGAAAATTCAAATATATGAATTAAAGAATTGTTTAGTTGTTGAAAAGGAAAATCAAAAATGTATGCTTCCAGTCGGGTTCGAACCAACGACCTTTAGATCTTCAGTCTAACGCTGCTACCAGCTGAGCTATGGAAGCTTACATTTTGTATTATATAGAGAGATTAACAATATTAAATTTATAAAAAAAGAAATAACAACAAAAATATGAATTCATTAACATAAAGTAATACACAATAAATATTTTATAATAGACTTTTAAACTTTCAGTAATAAAGATTAACATGAAAATATAAAAGATAATATAAATATTTTTATTGAATGTAATAAGTTTTAATCAAGCCAAAATAAACATTTACGTTACAATGAAAACAATTTAAATAATTATTATGTTATAATTATTATTGGGTTTGAAAGTAATATATAATGTATGTGGATAAAAATATTAACATGAAATATATTGTACGATTAATATTTCAATTTTGTCATATTGTATTAAATTGAGAAAATTATTATATCATAATGTGTAATCTATCAAAACATATTAGATAAACATTTTGATGAAAAATTCACTATTTCATTAGTATGGCTGCAACTATTAATTTTATACTATCTATAGGTAAAAATTAAATTAATTAAAAGAAAAAAAACAAAATATGACAAATAATAAAAAATTAACATTATTATAATAATATGATATATATAAAAATCAGTCCCAGCATTTTGGATTGGTAAACACTTGACATCCATTTCGTTCC